CAAATGGGATGAGTTGTGTGGATTCGGATTTGGGTTGCTCCCGATGGCACTCCTTGTTCGCTCTCTTTGTCCATCTATTCATCATTCTATCTCTCGCTCTATTTTTTCTCTCTCTCTCTCTATTTTTTTCTCTCTCTCTCTCTCTCTATATATATATATATATATATATGAGTGTGTATGTATACATTTATACTATATGCATATGTATATATGCGCCCACATACAGAGAGTGTATCAATACGCAACCTGTCTCCTCTAATCTTTTCATGTGCCACTTGACACAGGCCATTTCTCTCAGGTGATCTGGCGCAGCAGTGAGCTCGCGGGTTTCGGCATGGCCGTTTCCGATGACGGGCACAATGTATACGCTGTTGGCAACTACACTCCACCGGGCAACGTCGTTGGCCACTGGAACCAGAATGTGCCTGCACCCGTCAACGGAAAGATTTGGGTGCCGGATCGCAGCGAGTACATGTGAGGCCACCGGACCCTTCCAGGGCAGTGTTCAGGTGGTGCTGGTTTTATCGGGAGCTGCATTCTGATCCTGCCTCGCTTTCCTCCGCATTCAATCTCCTCTTCCACTCTTCTCTCCGGCCATTCGTATGGCTTGCTGCCTGAAACTCAAAGCAGTTTTAGTTGGCATCCACTTGCTTAATCATGTCGACCCTTTGCTTCTATCCTTCTTTTAGTTTGTCAAATTAAATGTTGAAGGCAATTGGCCAAGTATGATTTTCTTTTATATTTGCAAAGAGAATTTCCAAAGTGTGACGTGGCATGCCCCTTTTATTCATTTATGCACCATCTTCGCTTGTTTTTAACTTTGGCCAGAGGTATAGATTTGCCGCCAAGGCGGCGCGACCTCAGCATAGCTTTGCTTCTTTGTGTGAAACAGTGTGTGATCATGAAGTACGTTGGTCAACCACAGCGTCGATTTGCAGTTTGTTGATTTCGCACTGAAGTTTAGATTGACGCAGTCGTTCGGCTCCAGCGGAGATCGGCTAAACTTACGCCAGTCGTGCCAGTCGATGGCACTTGTCTAAAGTAGATTTTATTCTTACAAACAGTCTATTACAACGCCAAGTCAAGAATACCCGTCGCTTCCTGGCTTTGTATGCATGTTCACAACAACGACCGAGACCCAGCATCGATAGCAAAACGAACTGAATAAGAGGGGATATTGAATTATTTCGCCAGTCATTCTAACTACTTTTGTGTTTAATCGAAGTTATGAAGAGCAAGATGGTGTGGCCTTTTGTATGGTCGCAGTTGTATGCAAGTTGTTTGACCTTGTTCTCGCAACATGGTCATATTGGTAGGAAGACTTGGAGGAAAGCACCGAGTCCGGAGTCCCTTGTATGCATCATCATTTCCAGAGTCGGATCGCGGATCGTCGGCATCGTCAGTGAGCGTTGCCATTCTTAGCACCGCACTACAACTCGTCAAAGAGGCAGGTGAAGCCGATACTTTGTTTGATCGACGATCCCACCACAGAAAGATATTCCAGAAAGGCTTGGCCTTGCTGGCAATACACTTCTGCACTATAACTCAAGGGCATTCGTGACAATGTGCGGCAACAGCTGATGTGTCGAAACTGTAGGCTGCACTATCCTTATTCGAGTCTCCACGCTGAGACCTAGCGTGAGCAAAACGGCGACCGAGACCATCCTGGCCAAGAATACCTTTTGGAATGCAAGGCTATGTGAAATTCAGTGGAAACACGAGTATCCTTGATTCTTATGATTGTTTGCAAGTTCAGCTTCCTGTCCCTCATCACCCCAAATGAAAAAGAGTGGATTTTTTCTCATTTATTTGGTTTACTTGTTTTCTCGAAACCTGATTAGAAACGAAGACAAGTTATTTAGTCTATTGCTATAACAAATACAACTTTAATTCATTGACAATCACATCAGAGAAAGAGAACTCGATACTTATGTACGAATTCGTCCCTATTCCGAGGATCTCTTTCAACCGGTAATACATGAGGATGTCTTGGGGATTGGGTCAACCTAAGCGTTCCAGTAGAGCCAAAAAAATGACAGCTTCTGGACGTCTCCATCACAAACCATTACACGAATTAAAAGCCAGGCAAAAACTGATGCACAAAGGGTTTTAGCATAAGTACTCAATCATATTCATTCCTGGCTGCACAACGCCACCATTACGAAGTCTTAGCAAGCAGCCTACAAGTTGGTTGTGACGCTTTACGCACAATAAATCCCTCTAGTCTTCGATAGTGGGAATTTCAGGTGAATTTTTGATAGATAAAACAAATCAGGAGTCCTGTTTCCGGAGAAAGCTGAGTCGTCGAGGCTCCACACTGCGTGTGCGCCTAAAGCCGTTACGATTTGTCGCAATGAAAAACGGTTGTAGTAGCCTTAAAGACTCGAACCTGCCTACGATAAGGCGAAGTCCGGAGTTGGTGCATAAAGTGCGAACTTAATGCTTTTCGTAAGTAAGTAGGGTTTCGAGACTGCAGTCCACTCCAGCCTGGATGAGAACAACTTTTGGGAAAGCAAGGCTATGTTAAATTCAATGGAAACGTCAGCTCAACTCATATCATTGTGGGAAATTCTACTACCAGTCCCTCATCACCTTAGACGAAATAGGGTGAATACATCTCATTAATGCTTTTCGTTTATAAGCATGCTTTCGAGACTACCAGTAGACCATTTATCTATGAGATGTATTCACCCTATTTCCGTTAAGGTGCTAATGATAATGGCAATTAAATTTTCCCACAATCTCATGAGAGGACCTTACGTTCCTATTAACTTTCACACCCTTATATTCCTAATAAATATTCTCATCCCAGCTGGGGCGGACTGCAGTTTCTACCTTGCCTCAACTAGTCTCATCACCACCTCCAGCGGGACTTAAACTAAGCTTACCAAATCACCATAGAAAACGCTCTTCCTCGTCAATAAGCCATTAAACTTTATGGCTTCGAGACAGCAACAGATCAGCTCTGATCCTCGCACCACTCCTTCCACTCTAATGACTCATTATGCAATATCACAGGCCAATCGCAACCGCATAACTTGGTCAACCACCGATTGCCTTCACGTCAAAACCAATTCTATCGATAATTAACTACGAGCAATGAAATAAACAAATACATACATACATACATGTATAGGGAAATTGTCGTTCCTTATTTTCATTCCAAATTTATTAATCCTTGCTGATCTTTCGTTCGTCATGTGACGGACATCACCAAAACAAGACACCAGGCTTTACGATAATTCACCTGCTCTGACGATGTCCTTTATGTGACAAACGAAAGCCCAGCAATGATTTATCTTGGTTACAAGGCAGTGCGTCGAGGACCTATTCGCTCAAAGCTAACTAAGAATTAAGGGCAATCCCTCTTCAGCTTCCGGTGAGGTCATCTTACGAATCCCTTCCATTCGTCTGTTTAAGTGAAGTGAAACTTTAGATCTAGAGAAGCGTGTGGAAGTATCAAATAAATGCGAATCGCAAGTTGTGATTATCGTGATGCTCGAGAAATATACGCTGCTTCGTTCGTACCACAGGCATACCAGCAACGATCACATGATAACATAAATACGAGGCAGGAAGGCTTTTAATCTGGTAGTAATAACAATGTTGTTGTTGTTGTTGTTGTTAGAATTAAACTTAGCGTTTGAATCGCATTCTTCACGATCAGCGATCACGGACACATAATGGTACGGTATCCAAGTGATTACACAAAAAGCATGCAAAATCAAGGACGCGTGAGACCGTCAGATACAGATTCCATTATCATAGGCGGCAGAAAGGCGGTCCGCACCAGAAAATAGAACTGTTGACATACACATAGCCCCGGCTGACTCGACATGCGAAAAACAGGCAAACAGGGGAATGAATAAATCGTCAAGTGATGAGAGGGAGATGAATGATGAGAATAGAGGATATGCTAGAAGAAGTTTGAATGATCTATGGTAATTTTGCCTTTGAGGAAGCTTGCAATGATGTCAAGACGCAACCAAGAGGAAGATGGACAAATCATAGGCAAAAAACCGCTAGGATGATATCAAAGCGTGAGTCAAAAGCGTCAAGCTTTCATGGGAAAATACATTATGCTAGCGGTAGGTGTACGATCTCGGAAAACTCAGCTTCCTTATTTTCATAAATTGTACAAGTTCAAGGGAGGCAGGAGTGAGGAGATCGGATGGATCAGACAAGGAGATAGGATCGAGTAAATGATACTTCAAAAAGGAGGGGTCATCATAAAGAGACTATGATTGAACTCGATGATTAGTTAGTATGATATGAAACAGAAATAGATGAAGAGTAGACCAGTTGGGGTTCATAGTTGTATACAAATGGAAATACAGATAGAGATAGAGAGAGATACCCTCAAAAGAACTCGATATCCAAAGAAAATACAACACCAAATGCAAAGTAAAACTCTTAAGCCCCTCCTAAACACTAATTGAATGTACAAATATATTTTAATAAATAAAATGCAAAAGATGGTTCAAAGGAGCTGTTTGATTTGAGTGGTTGGACAAATAAATAATCGATTAAGATAAAAGTATCATATGGTAGATAGTAATAATAGCAATAATATTATTCTTTCAAATGCGATCTGGCGATTTGCCCTCAAAGCTAATCAGCTACTCCTAAAAGAAATATCAATAGTAGCAAAAAGAATAAATCGGAGCTGATACTCAAATGTTGGGAGTAGGACAGTCATGAAAATTCGGCGAGTAATAGGTAGCCGAAAATCAAAATATCTCAAAAGGAAAAAAAGTAAAGAATAGATAAAAGCAAGTAATAAAGGACAAACAAGAAATGGATTCAAAAGAAAAACCATATCTGGAGACTCGTAGGACTAAAATCAAGAAATATTGCACGTAGAAAGGGTGAACAGTATGGATAACGTAGGGCAAGAATAAAATATTGCACGATTAAAAGATTGCACATTTACGCCAATCGTAAGCATAAGAGGAGGCATTCGTCGAATGGAACCGAAAGTTGCAGGGAAGCCTTTAATGCTGAAGCCGAGGTGATGAATAAGGATTAAAGTGAACGGAAGAGATGTGGAAAAAGTAACACTGAGAGCAGAAGGTTGAGGAACCAGGACTAAATAAACAAAAAGAGAAAAGGATTCACAAGTAACTAAGCTGAAGTTGGCGCAATAATCGAGCCAGTTCAGTTGGTAACAGCTGATGGTGTAATATTGGTTTAAAAGTCAAAAATACAAACGCAAACAGACACACATGCACAAACCGATGTATCAAGACTAGAGTCGATATTGCAAATGCCTACCGGGCCATTGGGCACGGCGTAGGCTGTGCCTATGCTGGCCAGGCAAGGGAAGAGAGGATGTGGCGTTAGCAGAAGACAGAGAAGGAAACGAAGACGAAGACGAAGACGAAGAAGACGAGGAAGAGATGGACGAAGCGGAGGAGACCGTCGACTGCTGGCGAACACGAGGCCGACTTGTGTCCGTAGCCGGGGCCGGTTTGGCGGTGGAGAGGCGAGTGGACCATCGGCCAACAGGACGTCTTGCCCGCATCGGCTCCCAACCTCTGGCAACGTTATGCGTTTGGCTTTTGAGACCGCCTGCAACGCTGGGACGTCGGCCACGCCGAGACGCAACCGGTGCCGCAGCCGCCAGGGCACGTCCACCGGTTGGTTGTCGGCCTCTGGCCGCTCGACCGACGGTGAAGGCTGAAGTCGAGGCGACAGTCGCCGCCAGACTGGCGCCAGGCGATGTAGACAACGTCGAGGCGGCCGGTTGTCGACGCCGACGTCGAGGTCGCTTTCGCAGCGCCAACTCTGCGCTCTCCAACGCCTTTCGAGTGCCCAGACGAAGACGACTCGAGCGTCGATGTGCCGGTCCCGTCTTGACCTCGGCGCAGACGGTGCTTGCAGCATCGTCGTCATCTTCACCACAACCAGACGGATTGCCCTCTTTGCCTGCCATGGCACAGGCTTCCACGCGTTCCAGCCTGTCCATGCCGAAACCGTCCAAGTTGCCGGAACACCAATGCACTGACGGCCAGTCGGTGTCGCGCTCAACCGGTGCACGCTTCAAGGGTCGACCCGGTCGTCGGGCGGCCCGCGATGTGACGGTAGGCGAGGCGAGGCGAGGCGAAATGTGACGTCGGAGATTGGCACGAGACACTCGAGTCTTGCGTCGATGCAAAACCCCGTTGGCCGAGGATCGCTGAGCTGCCATCGTCCGAGAGGTTGCACACGACCGCCTGTAAGAGCCTCTTACACCAGCCTCCTCCTCCTCGTCCTCGTCCTCGTCCTCGTCCTCGATCTCGTCCTCCTCCACTTCATCGTCACTATCGTCGCAGCCAACAATGCCGTCTCGTCGGGATCTGACCAGCCCCTCTTGCTCCACCTCGATCAGATCCACCTCATTGCCCGCGTCCATTAGAGCGCCCACGACAGGACCTGATTTTCGCTTGCGACACCTCGCTTCGACCAGCTGGCCCGAGCGCATAGTCGCCCGATCATTGGGCGAGATGAAGGAACGCGGAACAAAACAGGCCGTGTCGAGAGAGGCAGCCGCGAGCAGGTCAGAACAGACTGGCTCCAAGTGATCAGCCGGAAAGTCAAGCTCATGCTCTTGCAGTTGATCGCCAGTCTGGTCGTTCGAGAGGCCCAAGTAGGTAGCCGGCGACGAGGAGGTGATGACCCGACCGCCGGAGGCAGCTACAGTCGGTGGAAGTAGCAGTCGAGGAGCC